ATGCTTTTCTGAGCATTTTGTTAGTTCTTAATGAACACTGACTAACTACATGTTTAATAACAAAACAGAGCATATTCCTGTTTAATTAGATTTAGTGTGGTGCAGGTTGTGAAACATTGAATAAAAATCATTGCAGTTGTAGGTTTATTTATTATTGTATTTTTAATGTGCCTCTACAGGTTCTTTGTTCCAGCTTATTAACTCTCAGAAAAACGAAATATCATATTGTGTATCATATATTGTGCAAATATCTTGTAGCCAAAGTATTGTCATCTAATATTTTGGCCATATTGCCCATGCCTAGGCTATAATATATAAAGTATGAATAAAAACTTCATGTTAGGGCTGATTCATGTTATCTGATGATTACCTCTATAATAATTTATTTTAAGTTGTTTTTGTTTACATATTGTTACATTTATTTCTTAGTTGAAATTCTTGTACTACCACACCATTGAAACCCAAAAGCAACAAATAGGTTAGCAGTAGTCTATCTGCTGAAATTAAAAATATGATCAAATTCCAAAAAAAATCAAGTTAAAAAAGGAAACCTTTGAATTATTTTATTAAAGTCTCTATGCAGGTAATAAAATGTATTAAAACTTTATGTTACGTATTTATTTACCATTAAATGATCCTGAGTGGGGAAACATCTGATAGGTCATTGGGTAAATGTTTCTGCATTAAACATTGTTTAATGAAAGTAATAATAAAACACTGCTGATGTATGAATCATATACCAATTCATATGTTTTAAAACATCCTTTACATATCATACAAAACACTGAGACATCATGTGATTAACCGGCAGAAATAGGCATATTTTTGTGTTGGGCTTAAATGGTTAAGTAGATTACTTAATGAAAAAATTGCTCATTTTAAAACTTAGTTTTTAAAGAAAGAATAACATATGTATTCGCCTTAATATTAGCAGTGGTATCGGTGGTATCCTTCTGTTGTTATGTTAGTTCTGTTTTTGTCTGTTTTTCATAATGGGGACATTATTGTCCTGCAAATGTATGAAAACAAATGAACATGCACATATATACCCATGATACGCATGGTTACATGTATATTCTCTCTTTTTCTTTTTCTTCAGGCTGTGCTCATCACACACAGTCCTCAGGACACCCCACCACACACACACCCACTCACACTTTTACACAGCTCTCACATTCACTTATCTTTAACATTGCTGTCTTACAGCCCACATACTCCGAAGATGCAGGTTCTTTAACATCAGGCTTAAACAGTCACATCAGCCATCACTCCCCATGTCTTTTCAGCACACACTTTAATCCAGGCATCCATGTATAATCGGCGGCATTTATCAAAGCCTTATTTAAATATTCAGTGGATTTATTCAAAGCTGTCATTTCCTTGCATTAACACACACCCACCCACCTCCGAAGCCTCCCCCTCTCCTCCTACACAGTGGATTAGTCTTGTGATAATTCTTCCAAAAAATATAAATACCATTTCAGCTTGTGCCTGTAGGAAGAATTTTTGTTGGGAGGACACATAAAACGTCGTAGAAACAAAAAAGATTCACAATAAAATTCACAGTAAATTAATAAAGTTGTCAAAAGATAAATTAGATGCGCAAGGTTTCATCTGTGTTCCGGATGAACTCTTTGGAAATGTCAGGATATCATGCTTGATTAAGTAAAAGACATTGTAACATTAAAGCAGATGTTAATTTATGATGTTGGATTGCTACAGTATAGTTAGGCTAGGTTAATTCTGATCAAGCGTAAATTTTAAAGGCCATATATAAGGAAAAGAGGTCAAGACGTGTAAGGTTTCATCTTTGTTTTGCTTTAACTCTTTGAAAAAAGTCAGGATATTGTGCTTGTTTAAGTAAAATATTTTATAAAGCCTTATTTGAGCTGCATTTTTTTTTCCTGAGCAAATTACACTCTGTAATTCATAAAACCCATAGCTCCTTCGGTAATAGTAGCCCTGTTTGAATTGACCTCACGGTAAGGTAATAAAAAATAGTCAGTGGCACCTCAATTTTTTTGGTGGCAAGGCTAACTGTTAAAATGGAGCTCGGATTGGCACAGTTCCTTCATCCTCAAGTTTAAGCCAGGACTGCTGTCTTGTTGGCCAGTTTTTGTTAAGTTTAATGAGCCCATATCACTAGTCTAATGCTGCTGTATCTGGCATCAGTTAGGAATTAAATTTTGTCGTTTGTTTTTCAGACCTGTTTTATTTTAAACAAGAATGTCCAGACTAGGACTTTATACTCTGCTTTATGTGGGGAAATTTGGGAAAATTACACAGATACTTTATCTTATCTCAGCCAAGATGGTATGATTTATCATAGCAGATATTTTGATATATGATTGCCTCAGTAGTAGTAGTAGTAGTAGTAGCTAGGATGAGCTCATTCTGGTAGAGTGCAGATGTTTCCTTTAAGGCCACATTTACAGGTAATTTCCAGTTGAGATGTAAAAAAGTGTTACAGAATGATAAGAGTAGGACCCTGTATAGAGTCTCACCATTTCACTGGCACATTACATTTCTGATCATGAAATTTTGGTGTAGCTCTCTGCTCTACCTCAAATGGGGATTATTACATGGGCCCAAATTAACTTTGCTGGTCGTGTGGCTAGTTTTATAAGGTGTAGTAGACCATACTGAAGTATTAGAGAGTTTTGAGTTTGGTGGATTCTGACACTTTGTTCAGTTATTGGGTGCCTTGTGCACATTGTGCCCCCTGTTGGTAAATGTTGGTGAATCACAGAGATTTGAGCAAGTGTTGTGCCCTCATATTGGGAGTATCCTACAATAGGTACAACCAGCATCTAGTGAATTCCGCATTCATCTGGACTTTTGTATATGATTTAACATTCTGGATTTTTTTTGGTCTCTCTCTTTTTTCAAGAACAAAGAAAGTATCACTATGTTTTTTTATGCTATGTGTAAAGAATATACGTAATACATTGATAATAATAACAATATTAATAGTAATACTGCTCTTGCAACTTTTAATATTAATAATAATAATAAAAATCATAATAATAATAATTGCAATAGTAACAGAAACAGCTATAAATATTTTTACTGAGCATTACTGTTTATGGCTGGCATGAATGACAAGCACATTTGTGATTTTCTAACTATATTTTCTAAACAGATTTAATATTGGCCTGTGCACTATTTTTATCCTCCCTGGAATGATTGTTGATAGTCTGGAGCCTTACTATTTAATTACTTAACTGCTCCCTTATGATTGCATTAATTTTACTACCCTGTACTTAACTGAAATGTTCCTCACTTTCATGAAACATTCTGTTTTCCAACATGTAGCCTAACGTTACATTTACTGGACTCCCTTTAGGCAGTAGGTAGCTTCTAACTAGACACAGTTAGCCATTATCAGTGGGAGCAAAAACAATGCTGGAACTGAGGTTCTTTCGTTACGTCTGAATATCATTGTTGTGCTGCTGTGAAATGTTGCCTCCACTTCTGCCTAGTGTGCATTGCACCGTGCTATCACTTTCATGGGTCTGGCTGTGATTTCTTATGATGGAACGAAAGGACAGAAGCTATGCTGTCCCTGAGGAGTGTATTAGAAATCTAGTAACATTAACACACAAATGAAATTTATAGAACCATTAAAAAAAGATAACAATGCACCAACAAAAACAAATCTACATCTAGAATTTTTTATAATAAATGTAGTTGACTTTGAAGTGGAGCCTTACTCCGCCTCCCTCACATAACACTTCAGACATATTTATGTGTGATTCTATATTAATATCAGCACATTTCATTATGAAAATGGATTTTACATATATTTCGGAGTCGGACTCAGTTTGACTCATGTGAGCATATGTTGGCATATGGGATTCTGAAGATTAATGAGAAATTCTCTGTGTAGCTAATGAAATCAGTAGTGGTAGCAAGAAAAATGGTGCCCCTCTAATTCAAAAACACATCCTATTAGCCTGTCCCTTTATACCTCCTGCTGCCTCCTGCTGTGTATTGCCTCTTTGCATCCATATGCAGGAACAGAGTGGAGATTATTAATTAAGCTATGCTTTTAATGACATCTTGCTTAAAGAAGCAGCTGGGGTTCTTTAGCGTGAAAGATGCAAATAAGCACGAGGTCACATTGGACATTTATCCAGCACAGTGACCTACTCATCTATGAGACAAGAGAAAGGAGTCAGGATACTTCGATACCTTTACGTATGGACTGGATTTTTTTCATGTTCCGTAACAGCAGATTCTGTTACTCATGCCAGTAAAAAGATCATGACAATACAGTCTCTTGGAAATCTGCATAGTTCCCAGCAAATCTAAACTGCCCATCAAATATTTGAGGACAACATAACTCCTTTTGAACGACATGCTATCACTGTTGCACTTCAATTAATAAAAAACAATACCTGCATAGATATTAGCTAATATTTTGGGTATATTTATTGGCACTCAGTTTCATGCTAATGTAAGTATCTTTCTTGGTATGAAGAGAAGGTTTGGCCTAAATAATGATTTAGCTGTTTTCGTTTATGAACTGTTCTTAAAAGCCTAAATTCAAGGTCTTCGGCACCGGAGGTGGTTTAAATGAAAAGTGACACCACAAATGTATAAAATGCATGAGGTATGATATTATTCCCATGTTGTTCTTTTGTTTCTGCAAAGAAAAGTAGCATGATATAAACAGCTTTATATTTCATGTTGTTTCTACAAACAAACAAAGAAAACCCCTAATTATTAAACATTTTTGAAAAGCTTGATGTTTACAAGCAGTGTATATAATCTTTTCTCAGTATCGAGCACTCAGGCCTGAATCAGAATGCTAGTTAATTAAGACAGAGTCCAGTAAGCATTTGGGTATGGAATCATATCTACTGATCGACCTAAAAACTTTTGTTGGTTGTTTACTACTTTTGTGTTGTAAGTGATTCCTTTTACTAACTATATGTGATTTTATATAGGTGTAACAACAATTTGTTCTTAATTTATGCTGCATTCTGTGTCCTCAGGCTGGAGTTTCAGTATGGGTTCAGCGTATCAGTTCCACAGCTGGAGGGTGTTTGTGGTGGTGTGTGCTCTGCCGTGTATCTGTTCTGTGGTGGCCCTCACGTTCATGCCTGAAAGTCCCAGATTCTACTTGGAGGTAAGAAGGTTTAAACTGAATTGGTAAGCATGAATGTTTATACATTGTGATACATGCTACTGATTGCAATTTTATTTCCAATTAGAGGTATAAATCTCTGACCTCACAATGAATTGATTATGAAACTAAAAATGAGATTCTGCACAAATTGATTTATTTCAAATAAAAAGCAATGTAACAGGTTTTTTTTGCTTGTTGTTTGTTTGTTTTTTTGTGTAATAGCCTGACACTTTTAATCAGTATTATTATAATTAATTATGATTAATTATAAAATTCTAATGTCAGTGTTGTTGAACCGCCACCCTCAGATTAATGCACATGGTGCACTGATACATTTTTACACCCCTATCTCTAACATTTAAAGGCTTGCTTATTTCTAATTGCATCAAGACATTTTATAACATCACAATCATGGCTTTTGATTATGGTGACATAATACTTGTTTTTTAGTGTATATATTAACACTTATTTGCTGTGTTGTGATTAAATTCAGTGCATCATTTAGATGTTTTGAACAGCTGTTAACAAAATCTCCTTACAAAGAAAATACTCCTTTTGAAGCTAATAACTCATGCGCGTCATGACTCCCTTTGCTAGCTCTGAGGCGAGGGAGGTGGGCAGCTGTCATCCAATCCTGTTAATCCCCCTGGATTTTCCCTCTCTTCACTCAGGTGGGGAAGCACGACGAGGCCTGGATGATCCTCAAGCAGATCCACGACACCAACATGCGAGCGCGCGGACAACCCGAAAAAGTCTTCACTGTGAGTCTGTCATCACTGTCACTGTAATAAATTAAGTCCATCACCCCCGCCATGCTAATTTAAGCAGTTTATCCCCACAGTGTGTTCTGAATGCTCTGTGGGACTCCAGTGGTCATTTTCTCCTCCCTTATTATTTGGCCTTTAGTGGGATAGTTTTGTGTCTTTGACAAATACACACAGTGAGGATCATGTACAGAGAGATGGCAGCCTGCATTAAGGCTTGCCACATACACCTGCTGTGTTATTAAGCCTTACTCATTTTATGTTACTTGGAGATTTCTCACATGGCCCCAGGCTTTTGAACAGACCTTTTTCACAAAATATTTGGTTCATTCATGCTTCATTGCTTTGTATTTTTTTTATGTAGGCTATTGCTATAAATACAGTATAAGCTGTTGGTATAAATGGTAATTGGATGGCTCTGTGAGATAAAAGGATGAAATATGAAGTAAAACCTATATAAGCAGAGGTGGAACATAAAATTACATTTGCTCTCGTTACTGTACTTTTTCTTTCCTCTGGGATGATACTTTTTGGAGTAGAATTAAATCATAGTTCTTTTACTTAAGTCAATTTTTAATGAAATACTTCTACTTTGCTTCTTTAATTTTTAATAATGTTACAGGGAAAATAAATTAAATCAGCTAATAAAGCAATTAGAAGAAAGTCTGGTTAAATTTTAAATGTTCAGTTCTAAAAGTAATCTAAAAACAGAGCATCTGTGGTCATCTGTGTTTTCAAATGAACTAAAGAAAACGGTGCAATTATCAGCTTCTAAACACGCTGAAATCTGTGCTTTCCATAACTCAACTTGAATATGTTGTGTATATTTTATTGCAAGTATTTGTCAGCTAGTTACTCTAGTTAGCCCATACCCTTTGATTTAGCCATATAATAATATTTTTTGTGGCTGTTTTGGAGGTAAATAGCCATATAAGTCTGTGACACAGGAAATTTTATCTAATACAGATTCCCCATAAACTCCTCCATTTAAAAATGCAAAAGTGCAAAAATACTGTGAATGTTATGTTTACTGTCTGTAGTAGACTTTTTAAGGAACAGAGAAAGCCTTGCATTATCATCAAATCATAAAATGCATGTATGTTTTTTGTTTAATGTAAGCCTTGTTCCTTAAACAGTTCAGAAGATGTGTAAATGTGCACTAGCTGAGCATATTATGATCAGTCTCAGCATCCAAAAACTTTTCTCTCCTATTTTCTCAGAAATATTTTCAGGTTGTGATTGCAGAAAAAGTGAAAAAAGTAACTTGATTACTCAAATAGTTTTCCGATAAACTACTGATGTACTCTTACTTGAGTGTTTTCCTATACAAATACTTTTACTTGTACTCAAATAAATTATTATTGCATTTTTACTTCATTTGGGGTTTTGCAGTACTCTTTCCGCCCCTGAGTATAAATAAGGAAAACTAAAAAAGCTGTTGATTTGATATTTACTCTGCTCTTTTTTCTGCTCACAGGTAAACAGGATCAAGATCCCAAAACAGATTGATGAGTTTGTGGAGATGCACACTGAGTCCAGTAATGCTGTGTCCAAAGTTATTTTCAGAGTGAAGACTGAACTTTATGGGGTGAGATTTACTGTCTTTTTTGTCTTGAAAAAATTATGATAAAATCTGACACTAGCTCATACCATATTTATCAATCACTATTTTTTCTCTCAGATCTGGTTGACCCTTTTGAAGTGTTTCATTTATCCAGTGAAAGACAACACTGTAAAGCTGGCCATTGTGTGGTTCACACTGTCATTTGGGTAAGCCTTTTGTTGTCTGTTAGATGTAATCATAAAGGAAGGTAAATCGATACTTCAATGAAAAATCAAACTTACTCAATTTCCCACTTATGCCTGGCCCACACTACAGGATTTTTTTAATCCAAACCAATGTTGAAAATGTAATTATGCTCACAAATTATACTCCTGACCAAATATTCTATCTGAATCTGAGATCTTGCAGAATGTCCTGTAAACAAAAATGACTTTAGATAAAAACAAACATGGCAGGCGACAGCCAGGCACAGATTACTATGCTAGTTGTGTATGCATTTTGCATAGTAAAAGTAAAATATAGATTGTTTGTTTCTTTGTTTTTTACAATGTTAATTCGGATAAAGTGTTTTTATTCTTCTTTTTAGCTCAACACTCCTTTTGTTACGTTGGTTAACAGTTTAAAGAAAATCTGGGGAGATAATGGCTTAAGACCTACCTGAACTCAGGACACTTGTGATTGTCAGCCTCAATTTGGCCCAGTTGTCCTGTAGTGTGGGCCAGGCATTAAATGAAATCAATCAGCAGTGATGCCATCTGAAGTTTGCTGCTTTAATTTTGCATAGAGCTACAAGGCAACCCTAGCTAATGAAAAAAGACTGCTTTTCCCCCACAAGTTAGCATCATGCAAACTGCATGGCTCAGTCGTAGCACACTTTCCTTGAACTGTGTTGAGTTGTTAAGTAAACTTATACAGACTTGCTTGTGTGGTTTCCAACACTGCGTGGCAAACTGTTGGACAAAATTCAGGCTTTAAGTTGGATGCTACTTTAATCCTGCAGGTACTATGGCTTGTCTGTGTGGTTCCCTGATGTCATCAAGCACCTCCAGGCTGATGAGTACGCTTCTAAAGTGCAGAGGCACAATAACGAGCTAACTGAGGACTTCACATTCAACTTCACATTAGAGAACCAGATACACACAAATGGTGTGTTCATCAATGACAGGTATTCCTGAAAGGGCATGCATTTTACGTTCTGGAATGAAGAAAAGGTCATTAGTGGTATGAAACCACTGAAATATTGCTTAGCAAAAGTATATGACAAGATGTAGAGGTGGGCAGTATGACAATATCTTATCTTTACTGTGATGCATTCCTTCACAGTACACTTTTTGAGGATATCGTCTGTACTTGAAAAACACTGACCAACTGCATGTTTCATTGCAAAAAGAGCATAATTAGGCCCGTTCAGTTGGATTACTGTAGATGTGGATGTGAAACTTTGAATGAAAATGATAGTACTCCCAGTTTTTGATAGTGTTTTTTTAACTCTGACACTGCTGGTTCTTTTTTGTCTGCTCTAGTTTATCAAATGTGAGCTTTTGTGATGTTCTATTTTTGCCTTATCGACCACCCTTGACATGATGGCTTTTTTGTGTTATTTCTTGTTGTTAAGACAGACTTCCTATAAATTGTCTCTCTTCTCTTCTTTTTTTCATTACCTTCACAGATTTGTAAATATGAAATTCAAGTCAGTCACATTCATCAACACCACTTTCCAAAACTGCTACTTTGAAGACGTGACCTCGGTGGGCTGTTTCTTCCGTAACTGCACTTTTATCGATGCATTCTTTTACAACACGGGTAAATTAACTATGTTCTTATAAGCTCTACTTTTTTATAGCAGTTACAATTTTCAAAACTGATAATTTGCAAGAATGTTAACCTTGAGCCCCAGAGAGCCGTTAAAACACTGGGACTTAGTAGTCATTATTGTACTAAACTTATAATTTAAAATAGTTTTTCGCAGTTGTCATGTATAGCACAATGACTCTATAGCTAAAATTAGAAATATGTATATCAGTATGTCTCTAATGAATTTGATTTCAATCAGTATTGTTATTATTGCTTTTTACACACAGACATTGATGACTCCAAACTTATTAACACAAAAGTCACAAACTGCTCATTCCATCACAACAAAACGGGTTGTCAGATGACATTCGATGATGACTATAGCGCCTACTGGGTTTACTTTGTCAACTTCTTGGGAACATTGGCTGTCCTACCAGGGAACATAGTGTCTGCCCTCCTCATGGATAAAATAGGGCGCTTATCTATGCTAGGTAAGATACATACTCTCTTTTGTATTGTATTTCATATTTGTCATGTATTTATTACCATAGAAGTTGTGATGGTCAACAAAAGCAACAGACTCATAGCTTCAAACAAATGTAGTAAATGTCCATTGCCACTTACTAAACAAATGTATGAAGAGGTTCAGAAAAAATGTCAACAGAATTGATTTTGGAAAAACAGCAACAGGATTTCCTTGAGGATTTCATCAAGCAAGATTTCTGGCTGTTTGTGGACTGTGTTTTGTGTGCTCTCAGGGTTCTCCATGGTCCTGTCTGGAATCAGCTGTTTCTTCCTGTGGTTCGGCACCAGTGAAGCCATGATGATTGGGATGCTGTGCCTTTATAATGGCCTGAGTATCTCCGCCTGGAACTCACTGGATGTGGTCACAGTAGAGCTTTATCCTACAGACAGGAGGTTTGTATCCAGAACATGCACACACAATCATACGGAAATGCTTTGGCTCATACTTTCATGTGGAGCTCGAACACTCACTTCAACAAGAATGCTATCACATCAGGGATGTAAAAGAACCTTGATGTATTATGATCCATCAATCTGATGGTAGCAGTTTAACAGTTTTGGAATATTAGAATGTTAAAACATGAACAAGTGAAAACTACATTTCTCTGTCAGTTTTCAAATGTAAAAATCTCATATATAGCTTGATATATTGTTTTTATTATCTGTACATCACCTCTGTGTAATTTACAGCTGGCCCAAATAATTTGAATATTTGAGTACTCATTCATTATGCTGGTGTTTGGTTCTCTATTTAGTATGTGGAAGCTTTATTTCATGCCACAAAAATTGTAGTCTAAACACAAGTTTCATCTGCAAATCCCATAAAAAACTGTTCTTGATAATATGTGGAAACTTAAAAATAAATAAATTATAGCTAGTTTAGTTGAGTATATCATAAATTCATGCTAGACGTCCATGTCACCTCGCCTCAGAGCATAACAAATTTCACCACTGTCCATGCGGCCATTGAATCTAAAAGAGCATGAAACATGGCATGAACCATCTTAGATATGTAAGTATAGTACCAGTAATAATGGTATTCTCTGGCAACACTAAACTCAGGGACCTCAGTGCTTCAAACTGTTTGTTGTGGTGAGTTTCTAGCAGTGGGTGAGTGAGGGGGACAGGGTGCTGCTGCCATCGTGGGTGCTCCCCGGAACAGGAGTCCGGTGTGTTGAAGTTCACTCTAGCCAGTTCACAATAGGCTGCCAATTGAAGCCTGCGGCATTCTGTGAGGTGGAAGCGATCACAGTTTCACTGGCACTGTTTCCTTGCAACATGTCCTCTGAGTTCAACACTGATCTCTGAAGCTCAGCTATGACTGAATTGTAACTCAGCCTGCATGTCACCCTCACTGCTCCTTTCAAAGAGAAAAACGGCAAAGTAGCCAAATAAATGGACTATAATGACTATAATAAATAAAAATGACTAACTAAAACTAAAGCCATTATGGAGATAGATAAAATTATAACTCTAATTCATTACACCTTTAGCATTTATGTGGCTTTATTTGAATGAGAGGGCTACAGTCATGGCTTCTATAACAACATACAGTGCACAAGCGTACTAGCGATTGTTACATGGCTGCCACTGGATATATTTTGAACTGCAGTGAAAAGCATGGTTTATTATGGTTAATTATGAAACCTAAACACTGTTTTTAAGGGTGATTTTGAGAATGAGTATTTGAGTGTATATGGTATCTCCAGTCACATTTGTGCATATAATTTATTTTTATAAATAAATCCTAGTTGTAACTATATGTGAATCAGATTTAAGTGTGAGATTTGAATCGTTTCTTAAAGAATCATAATTAAAATATGTTGCACTGAGGTCAGAGAATTATACCCCTTTTAACTCATACTATAAATGTAACACAAATACTAACTCTCTCATTTCTCTCTCTTTCAGAGGGACTGGCTTTGGCTTCTGTAATGCCTTGTGTAAGTTTGCAGCTGTGCTGGGCAACCTAATTTTTGGCTCCCTGGTCAGTATCACCAAAGCCATCCCCATCCTGCTGGCCTCCTCTGTGCTCGTGGGTGGAGGCCTGGTGGGACTTCGGCTACCGGACACACGATCCAATGTCCTGATGTAGCCCCTGCCAGACAGCCCTGAAGCTGTCCAGCTAATGACTTCAGTCCATCCATGTATCTTCAGTCTACCATTTTACACATTGTTCGAGTCATCCTTTTTCATTTACAGAGCTAAGTGAGATGGAATCATGAATGAGCAATATAATTACCACACAGAACATTATAGCAGTAGCTATATGTCATGACTAAAAAGACAAAAGCTTTATCAGTCAGTGAGTATGCACTTAAATCTAATTTGCGTGTTGATGCGTAGGCAGTTAAAGGTGAGAAGCATTAATGTTTCTGATCACGGGAAAGCCAAGGAGGGCTGTTTTCCTTCTTGTGAAACTATTTCCTAACATCCTGCAGCTGTGTAACAGTCTTGCATCCCTCTCCCTGGCTCCGTAGTGTTAAAAAGAGCCTGGCTGAAAGTCATATACATTATGCTGATGGGCTGTAGCAGAGCTCTGGCATTGAGATGAGCGTAAATATTAATGTCCCCCTTATTAAGAAGCTTGAAAAACAAACTCTTAATGAGCAGGCTGAACCTGCTGGAAGCCCGTAGAGGAAGAGGATGATCAGAAAGACTGTGAGAGCGGCACAGCTGTAGCCCAGCTGTCCTATACAGCTTCATACAGCCCAGATAGACCAAGCGAGAGTAAAACACAGTCACAGTCAGCAGCTTTCTTTACTAACAAGTTATTTTGTTTGCTTGTATGTTACCTGTACAATTAAATATTTATGAAGTCAGTATATGACTGCTTGGCCATAAATTGTCCTAAAGCTTTAATCATTAAAGGGATAGTCATCAAAAGCTTTATTTTTCCCAGGTTTAAGGGGTTTTTAGGTGAAAAGATGATATGTTGGTGTTTTTGTGAAATGTATCCATCTAAAGTAAAGCACAGCGCAAAAATGACCTCCCATAAGGACACAGAGGGAAACAAATAGTTGCTTTTAGAAACTAATTAAATACTAATGTCGTTAGGCTAAATTCTCCAACAGTTGTGCTGTTATTGCCATCTCATGTTACGACCTGATAAAGAAAAATATAAAATAAAGAACACGTGTAAAGTAAAATAACTCATCTGAAACTGTTTTATTGCATTTCACAAAAAACCCACTAAAGTCATAATTTTCAAGTCTTTCATGAAAAGCACTCGACTGTCCCTTTAAGCCCAGTCTTTAGAAAGCGTAGCTGATGATTTTTGCGATATCTTCTGACCCCAAAATCAATCATGTCTTGTAACTTTGGATAATTTGATGTTAAAACATTCAATTAAAGTGACCCCAGATATTTTCATACCAGAGTTCCACCAGTGAGATTGTGCATGTACATGTCAAATGCCAGTATCACCAAATGCAGCCACTGAAAATACTGAATTTATAATTTACTTGCATATTGGATGCAGGACTATTAACACTGATCGCTTGGTTCCAACATTTGTGTCTTGTTATTAACTTTGTGTTATTAACAAACATGTTAATTATTTCATACTTTGTTTGTGTATAATGTCAAATTGTAAAATGAGCCATTCACCACAATTTTTCCAGACGTACCCATGTGTGCTTTATGCTTTGTCTGGAAGTACCGATGGCCTTTTGAAACCGTGCCTCTCCTTTGTAAGACCGTTATCACCTATGGGCAGGAGACGCAGCCCTCGTTAACCTGAAGTGCAGTAGATGTAAATGTTATCACCCAGTGTCTTCTCACATTTCATCAAATTGCATGGAGCGTTTAGGGACACAGCACTGTGCTTGAATGAAACTGCCCTCATTTTAGCATACCGTGGCCACAGGCCCATGTTGGCGTTGTTGACAGGAAGGAGAGCGATGGCAGATTTTGGGGACTGGAAGGTTTAGAAAGACCGCCTCAAACAGATGGGCCCTCCAGTTGGCAGAAGAAACATGTGGTGACTCTAACAAGCCTGAGTTCAGGGAGTTTACCAGCAGTTTGTTAAGTTCGTTATTGCCATTACTCCTGTAGTTTGCTACGTGCTATTATAAGGTAAAGCATGTAAGTACAGACCTCGTTATTCATTTTGTTATTCTGTAGTCAGCATCATGACCATATTAGGAACTTTAGGTCTAAGCTGGTTTTCTTTATGAGAAAAGTGAATCGCTGCTGTTGTGTCCTGTGGTAAACAGAAATGTTGCAAAGCCAATACATTTGGTCATACGAACATTTTTCCTCTGAATGTCACTGGATTTTCCAAAATATGAAGTTGTAAAAGAGCAGCAATATGAATGTTGCTTTATGCAAGCTAACAGTGCTGCACAGTGAATTGACATCATGACGCTGGCATCATCCCCACAATACCCTGCAAAGGCCAGCAAGCTTTGTCAAATGTGGTAAATAGTAGTCTACACTTTGAATAGCTGGCGTTATATAACAGTGTTCAAGTTTAACGGTAGACTTACTATCATGTGACGTTATTATAATGCACAGAAATGTTAGCTTGCGCATAGCATGTATGTAGCATTCTTCATATTTCAACTGCTACATGACCTCGTAATTCACAGGACTCAGTGACACTCTGGGGATGAAATGTATTTGGGACAATGCTGTTTAAAAACAGCTCTTGTTTTTCTTGTACAGAAAAATCTTAGATCCAGAGTTCCTAATATGGGCGTGACAGCAGCTATAGGATGCCACGCAACTTCAGAGGTTTATCTTAGACCTTTACGAAAGAAAACAAGCCTCAGAAGTCATTAGGCGTTGATTCATTTGATGTGTGAGGTTTCTAAAATAGCTTTAATCGCCATCAGTGTGTTTGTGGCCTATTTTTCTCTTTTTGTTTTTCAAGTTATTGTAAAGTCATTGATTATTACCATGCTTTTTTCCTGTCTTTTTTTGTCCTACTAGTTTGTTAATATAAGGCTTTACTGTAGCCTATAGGCGATGATTCATTAGATATGTTATTTCTCTTTGTGTTAATTCATAGCCAGTTTTTTTTTGTTGTTTACCAGATATGATCATCCCTTTTTGTCTTTACTCCCATAACTTTCTTTGTTCTGCTAGCTTGTTAATATAAAACTATGGACTTGGAGTCTCCTGTGCCCTATTCGGTGGCTAGATGTTGGTGTATGTGCCATGTTGTTGTTACTGTTGATATTGAATAACAGCTGTGTTTTGAGATTTCAGCAAAGATATTAATCTATTTTGATGAACACTCCTATGAGACAGTTCTAAATCATTTATTGTAATAAAACTGTAGGTAATAGATCGTAATACAATGTGTCCTGTAGCTATTTTTGATTAGGCCTCCAATAAACCAAAGTGACTTCCTGCTGTCTCAGTTTCAGCAGAGCTATGCACCCTTAACTAGAGGTTTATCATTAAAAAAGAGATCATTGTAGAAATATTATTCTAGAAGACAACCTTTCTTTTTCTCGTGATAAGAAATTAGCTGCATTTAAAAGAAATTATGTTTATTTTTTTGTTTTCAGTTGCGGACACGTTGTAATGTCACTGTAGGCTACTGTGTATGTCGATGTGTGCGCTTATGTTTGTGTACAGTACATATATATGTTTGCGTGTGGGACAGAAATGTGATCATCTGTAAAATACTGTATATATACGACGCAGGTGGCTGTGTTCGGGCAGAATATATGTTGTGAATGTGTTTTGATGGACGCAAATGGAAAAGGATGTAATGCATTCACAGAAGTGTGCGACTGTGTTAGCAACAAGCCGACATTCTTCTTACATCGCAAGCAATCCTGCATGTGCGTATGAAACACTTTTGTGCTCAGTTCGCAGTTCTTGCGTCCCCCTGGCTGAGGGACAATCAGAAAATGACTACTTGGAGTAACGAAGAGAATGTAACACTGTTAAATGTATTATGGAGGTTGTGTGTGTGGTTTGTGAGCAGAGACATACAGAAAAAAAGCTTACTTTTGTGAGAGTAATAAAGATATGTGTTGAAATTATTCTGTGTCTGCTAATAACCTCTGCAACTCAACAAATCAGCCCCTGATAAAGGGCCACTGGGCATATAATGCAGTGCAATAGGTTGGCCAGCAGTATGAAGTGTTTATCTGCACAGACCATCTTGTACAGTACAGAACATGGACTGCTCTGTTTTGCATGTCATCCTTTGATTTTGCATTGTAAGGTCTAAACTACACTGAGTTTCACTTTAAAGCTTGCTTAAAAATTTCAACACATTTTAATAAGAATAGTAGTGAAAATATGTAGATAATCAAGAGTCTTTTGATTAACTGTGTATATAAAATTTGTTTATAATCTGCTGAATTCAGTTGTTTTTCACTTTATTTGGAGTGTCCAAGTTGATATCTGTGGATGTTAAGATCAAAGGTTGCTGAACATGTAACAGGTTCAATACAGAGCATCTCAACATCCTCAAAAAGCTGTTACAGACATGCTGCTGACACCATTCTTTAACTGGAGTTTAACTGGATTAGGTTTTGGTTAAGGATGGTGTTAGGATTAGGGCCAGGGTAAGGATTAGGATCAGGTTTTGGGTTAGGGTTAGGATTAGGTCCAGGATATGGGGTTAGGATCTGGTTTTGGGTTGAGGTTAAGGTTAGGTTTAGGGCCAAGGTTAGGTTTTGGTTAAGGTTGTTTAGGGTTATGTTTTGCGTAATGGAAGTAACATATTAAGTCTGCTTCATGTAACATCAACAATACATCTACTTAATTAAAGTAATGTATCGAGTGCATCTTTTAGATATTTATCTCAATGTATTCAGGTGCTTCAGTACTGCTGCTTCACTGATAATTTGTTGACATTTTACTGATACTTTGTAAAGGGTTTATTGATCATCTACAAAAGACCACTCTAAATAAAGTGTTCCCCAAAAACCATCTCAAGACTATCATAAAACAATGTCTCAGGCATCAGGCAGTGAATTCATAACCATTTCTTTCTGTGAAGTAGCTTGTAGAGACGTTAAACACTTCAGATGTCTAGCTCCTATCACCACCACTGTGAACAATTCTGTCTGGAAAACTTTCTCTACAGTGAAAGCACTTCACTTCAAACTGCTCTCAATGACTTTGCTTACATCTTAATGATCAAATCATGCAGACAATGTGAAAAGACAGTGAAATTTCCCTTTAAACGGTCAGTGCAGTTCATTTAATGCAAATATAAGTTTTGTGTTTTCCTGGTTTCACTGTAGAAATCACAAAGAATTACCCTTTTTATTTGAAGAAGACTTAAATGTTTCTGTGTCTGGATATTAATCTCAGTTTTACTTGGTTTCTGATGGAAAAGTAGCAATGTCAGCCATCTCTGGTGTTCATATGAGCCACTGCTTATTTTTACAATTTTTAATTGAATTTATATTATATGATATCAACAGTATAACAATCAAAAATCATATTTGCGAAGATGTCATATGTAGTATATGTAGCAAGATGCTTGAACACATGAATACATTTAAAAAACAAAAGAATAAACATAAATATAAAATATAAATAAATAAAACAAAGAAAATGAAAAAAAATAAAAAGTAAAAATAATGAAATTAAAAATGGATAGGCTTAATTTTATTAATGAATGGTTTTATAAACAGATCTTTACAAATTTGTAATGCTTTAAGTGCTTTTGAATTTTTCACTTTATTTAAAGGATTTAAGTAATGATTGAATTTGAAAAGGACAGATTTTAGTTGCTCATTCGACCATCTGCATTTATGTGTATAAGATTTGCCATAATATATGAGAACATTAATGGATGGGAAAAAAGGATGTCCTGATTCACATTAGACTCAAAGTAGAGAACATCTTTTATACAGAATTTTACACCAGCATGAGCAAAAGTGAAAACAAATTTTTCTACATCTATTGAAAACAATCTGGCATGAATACAATAAAAAAGGTCAGTAGTTTCTGTATCATTCTGACAAAAT